ATCACACATATTTGGGCCAAATAACCTTCCCGCATGTCTTTAGAGTACAATGAAGAAAAACTACCAGGAGTACTGCTGCCCATCAGAATGAAAAAAAAAATGATTTCTCCGTCCACACAAATGAGGTGGATGGAGGAATCCCCCTGACGCTCACTGCTGTCAGAATACACTGATTAACAGCTGTAATCATTGATCCAGAACAATGTTGAAACATGTACCTTTTAAAGAAGTAGATTACACAACTAACTTCTATCAAGCAGCAATGGCTGCACACTGATCAACATTTGGCTGGTCCCTGCTAAAGTGGCTGAATTTTGATCAGTATATGAGCAGCTTCAGGGGCAATTTTAAAGCATTAGTATAACTACAGGTTCACTTGTGATATTTTGCAGCACATTACACAACTCTCCTCTACAGCTCAATTAACACATTCTCCTTATAATAAAAATGATCAGGTCCCAGGCTGGTGGCAGCAAAATGCATTTTACACATATGTAGGGGCTTTGTTCAACTGTCAGCATATTCTGCATATTAACATAACGTGTGAATAATAATAATTACTAAAATCAGAACATTGCAATTGATTGTCTTGTCTAAGCTTTGCTGGCAGTGCACTGTTTCTTCTATTTCTGCTTTTCAGGAGTGTACATACTTTACTCATCCTTAAGAAATGAGCACTACACAATTAATAAAACATGAAGCTTTTTTTAGGAAGGGCAACCATTTTCACTGAACTAATATCCTTTCAGAAGCCTTATCAGAAGTGGCATTTCTCAAATTTCTATCCTGACCCTATCTTTATAAGATATATTGATCAGTTCTATATACAGCTAGCTGTTTCAATGGGGTGATCTTCTGGCTGATAAATTAATGTCTTGAAGGAGACAGAGAATAATTTGCATGTAACCATAACAACTTCGATTACTTTTGATACAGTTGTCTAGATCATTCTAGAAAGTGGAAGGTTGATTTACTAAAGGAGTAGATAAAGTAGTAGATAATATTAACTCACTGTGTAAGGAGAAGCTGTGCTGGCTTCAGTCATCCAAACATTAGCAAGTAAAAATGCAATCTTTATCATTTTCCCTGTTTGTGATTGGGTATATGAAGTTACCATGGGTTCATCATATGCACTGAACAAAGTGGACATTCACCTTGCTAAATAAGCATTCAGTATTGCTTTATTAAATAAACCCCTGCATGTGTACTGGTTAAGATAACTTAACTGAATCAGGGGTGGACTGACAACTCATGGGGCCCCCGGGCTATAGGGGATCATGTGGCCCTTGTATCCTGGCCCACACCCAAGAAAGCCTGTGAAAAAGCCAATGAAAGGTACCAGGGGCATCTCATGGGGCCCCCTACTGACCCTGGGCCCTCGGTCAGTGCCTGAGTGCTCGAATGGTCAGTCCGCCCCTGAACTGAATGTATGTAGCTGAAATAATCATTAATAAATAGCGCCACTCAAATGTCTCCCGATGGTCCTTCTGTTAGTTCTCCTCCCACTGTGGGTGCCAGCCCCTCTAGGAGCATGTCTCACTTCATGGAACAATCACTATAGCAATGCCTATTATGCCTTAGCCCAATCAGTATGAAATGCGTTAGTGGGAAGTAGCCAAGATGCTGGACTGTAGCTGAAGCCTTTGTTAGCTTGCCAACAGATGTGGTTGATCTATGTGGTGTGTGCCCATAATTTTGCTAAAAAATCATTAAAGCCCAAGATTAGTAACAAAGGAAAGCATATTTAAAGATCAAAGGGACATTACTCACATTTAATGCAAAGTGTCCCTTATGCTTGCTTCCTCTGTCAAAGTGTAAATTTTCAGTCTTCTGCCCCTCTCTAAGAGGGAAATCCCCTCTTAGACATTGGACACCTGGATAGAGAGTAAGAGCTCATATCTGAGCAATTCCAGGTGCAGAGGATATTGGGGAACAGATGTTCCTTGATGTCCCTCTATGCCCATCCTGACAGGTTTTTGTGGTCTTTAGCTTTCCTTTTGCACCAGTATAAAACTGTGAAAGGGATAGTCCAAAGCCTACAAAAGTCTGGAGGACTTTTTGAGGTGACTTGGGCCTTGTCTAAAATGCATTGTCATGGTGTGAAAGGGGGTAGTCCAGTGCTTAAAAAAAGTCTGGAGGACTTTTCTAGGTGACTTGGGAAAGGACAACTCCTGAAATGCATTGTCATAGTGACAGTCTAAGACTTCATCTGCTGTGTTCCAGCCTGCATTCCATCCTGAGATCCAGTTCTGGGCAGCAACACTCCTTCTGGGAGTTAATGAGATCTCATCAAGCACACCACGTCCTGTTATGACCTGACTGCTGAGAGGATCCTGGAATCACAGCAGAGAGAGCCTGAATGTTCTGCCTTTTGTACCCTACAGTCACATTGGAATCTAGTTGTGGGCACAATCACGGTCTTTATTCCATCACCAGCATATCACCGCTGCCACATTCCAGGCCATAGTAAGCTACACCCCTCCTGGATGTTTGTTCCTAGAAGGTTTTAAGCTGGTTTTCCTGCTAAATAGTGACTCAGGCTAGCTCTGGTTTTTATGCAAAATTAATCACACAAAGAGCATTTGTTTTTATTTATTACAATAACACTGGTAGTATTTATAAGTCTAAATTGGACTTGATTCTATTTTCACTACTCTTGGTCTTTTTGCTGTTAAGCTGCTGGGGACTAGAAGTTATTATTAGAGACTTTTGCTACCTAATTAAAGCTTGCTGCTATGAGTTTAGCACCTGAATATTGTGGTACATGATAAACGCAGTGCATTTTGCCGCACAGGATTGCATGGTACAAAAGTACCATGCGAACCGGTTGCAGTGCACTTCCAAATGTGGTGCATGCACTACTTTTGGTGCGGTGCAGTGCAATTTCAGCTCATTTGAAATTAATGAAGTGGAGGCCGGCCTAGGCAGGAAACCTGGAAGTGCTGCCTTGCTGCACAAAAAGAAGCAATAAAGTAGAAATCTGCATTTTAGCATTTGAGTAAGAGGGAGCGGGGAAGGACAAAGTTAGCGTTTGTTGTTTAGGTAAGTTAAATTCTGCTTTAAGGAATAACAATAAAAAAATGATTTATAATAGCCTTTAGGGAAACTGTAAAAACAAATGACATCAGTTTTTTAAAAAAGCCCCAATAGACTCAATGAATCATGTTTCCTTATATTGTGTTTCATTGTGCATTGAAATCAAAATGTATGAACTGAAAGCTATGAACACAAAATTAAATTAATTTGTGTTATCTTTATGGAATTTTATTTGTGGAATTCTTTTCCTTTGTTAAGTGAGATTCATAAATTCACAGAAATAGTGCAGTGATCTGTTGGTGTGATGATCGACTGGCAGCAGTTTCCAAGGTGCTGCATACAGTGCACTGAGCTGTAATATCTGTTGGAGGGTGAACTGATTGCAGGAAATCAATAGCAAAGAAATTAAACCAGAGTATGCGATTAACTCTTACTGAACTGTAACTAACTGCCATCATTTTCTGTATACTGGCTTTAATTTAGCTCAGATACAATGCATTATGCTAATACTTCTTAGATGTCATATACACAGAGCTTTACGTCTTTATGCTGGCAGCAAAATCCTGCATTAAAAGTTGACGTGTAGGCGTACAATGCTGGTGCTAACGTTTATATACATATATTGTAAATGTACTCTATTGGGCGCTGCTACTGCTCAGGGACAAATAAGCAATTTATATGACCTCAGACACTCATTCATGAATTGATAAACTTAAGGCTGGTCATTCTGCACATGTGGTGCACCTGCATAAATGATTCATTCAGGGCAGACATATAAACATAAATAGTATATAATCAGCAACATAAGCACCGCTGACCACACATCATTGATATTTACATGGCAACCCTGAGCAGTGACAATGACAAATAGATTCTTTGTAAGCTGGGCAAATGTTTGCGTACATACATACAGCATCAAATATAATCCTTACAGAGGACCTAGGGCACTGATTTTTCTAGTTTTGGTGTATGCAGCTATATGCTGTGTGCTCGGACCCTTGGAATACGATAAAGCTGCATAGGCCAATGCACACAGCAATGCATATAGCTACAAAAAACACAAACTAGTGTCCCAGAACCTGTGTAAGGACCATATTGTATGCTGTATATGTTCATGTGGTATATTTTACCTACTTCCAGTTTGTTAAAATATTCTCAGCAGATTAGGCAGGAGTTAGGCTCCATGTACACGAGACCAGGGGCGGACTGACAACTCATGGGGCCCCCGGCAATAGGGGATCATGGGGCCCCTGTTTCTTTGCCCAAACTCAAAAAAGCCTATGAAAAAGGTACCAGGGGCATCCCATGGGGCCCCCTACTGACCCCGGGCCCTCGGGTAGTGCCCAAGTTTCCAAATGGTCAGTCCGCCCCTGCACGAGACACTTCTGAACGATGGAAACTGACTGCTGGAAAACGTAGGTTAAAAAACATCTGTTTAGCCGTGTTTGCTTACCGTGTTTGTGTGCGTTTATGAGCGGTTGGGTTTAGAAGCATTTTTTTTTAAAGATAACCTCAGAAGACCTTCCAAAATGCCCAGAATGCACTGAAAAACAGAAAAACATTAACTATCGTATTTTTCGCTCCATAAGACGCACTTTTTTTTCCCCCAAAAAAGGGGAGGAAATGTCAGTGCGTCTTATGGAGCAAATGTAAAGCAGCCGGTCCGGTATTTCTGCCGCAACCATGTCAGAATACTGGGCCGGCCGCTCAGCTCTTCTCTCCTGCAGGACCTTACCTGTTCCTCGCTCCAGCGCTGCAGTCTTCCCGCGCTGGCTTCTGTGACAGCCGGGTGCCCACTGCGCATGCACGAGAAGCGCTGCGCTTTGTGAATGGTCCAGTGTCTTCTGGGACACATAACAGGTCCCAGAAGGCTCCGGGCCATTCACAAATCGCAGCGCTTCTCACGCATGCGCAATGGGGACCCGGCTGTCACAGAAGCCGCCACGGGAAGAAGGAGGGACAACTCTGCGGAAGTGGGAGCCTCCCCCTCCCTCCCCAAAGGTCCACAATCTCTGGTAATCTCCTTTACTGTCTGCAGTCTCTGGTCATCCCCTGCACTGTCTGCAGTCTCTGGTCATTCCCTGTACTATGTCCGCAGTCTCTGGTCATTCCCTGTACTATGTCCGCAGTCTCTGGTCATCTCCTGTACTGTGTCCGCAGTCTCTGGTCATCTCCTGTATTGTGTCCACAGTCTCTGGTCATCTCCTGTACTGTGTCCGCAGTCTCTGGTCATCTCCTGTACTATGTCCGCAGTCTCTGGTCATCTCCTGTATTGTGTCCGCCACGGGAAGAAGGAGGGACAACTCTGCGGAAGTGGGAGCCTCCCCCTCCCTCCCCCAAAGGTCCACAATCTCTGGTAATCTCCTTTACTGTCTGCAGTCTCTGGTCATCCCCTGCACTGTCTGCAGTCTCTGGTCATTCCCTGTACTATGTCCGCAGTCTCTGGTCATTCCCTGTACTATGTCCGCAGTCTCTGGTCATCTCCTGTATTGTGTCCACAGTCTCCGGTCATCTCCTGTACTATGTCCGCAGTCTCTGGTCATCTCCTGTACTATGTCCGCAGTCTCTGGTCATCTCCTGTATTGTGTCCGCAGTCTCTGGTCATCTCCTGTACTATGTCCGCAGTCTCTGGTCATCTTCTGTACTGTGTCCGCAGTCTCTGGTCATCTCCTGTACTGTGTCCGCAGTCTTTGGTCATCTCCTGTACGGTGTCTGCAGTCTCTGGTCATCCCCTGTACTGTGTCCGCAGTCTTTGGTCATCTCCTGTACTGTGTCCGCAGTCTCTGGTCATCTCCTGTACTATGTCCGCAGTCTCTGGTCATCTCCTGTACTATGTCTGCAGTCTCTGGTCATCCCCTGTACTGTGTCCGCAGTCTCTGGTCATCCCCTGTACTGTGTCCGCAGTCTCTGGTCATCTCCTGTAGTGTGTCCGCAGTCTCTGGTCATCCCCTGTACCGTGTCCGCAGTCTCTGGTCATCTCCTGTACTGTGTCCGCAGTCTCTGGTCATCTCCTGTACTGTGTCCGCAGTCTCTGGTCATCTCCTGTACTATGTCCGCAGTCTCTGGTCATCTCCTGTACTATGTCTGCAGTCTCTGGTCATCTCCTCCTGTACTATGTCTGCAGTCTCTGGTCATCTCCTGTACTGTGTCCGCCGCAGTCTCTGGTCATCATCCCCTGTACTGTGTCTGCAGTCCATTGGTTCAGAATATTTTTTTTCTTGTTTTTCTCCTCTAAAACCTAGGCGTGTCTTATGGTCAGGTGCGTCTTATGGAGCAAAAAATACGGTATTTCAGACATTTTGAGAGAAATAGAAAGAGCAGAACCAGAGAGAGCAGTATTTGTTTATATTAGCTGTTTTTTTTTTTTGTGGTGTTTGGATGTGTTCCAGCTCATTTCTGTGCAGAAATTATTACAGCAGTGTCTAACATATTTTCTTTCATACAAAACCTGAGTACTGGTAAAATGCTTTGCAAGCATTTTTCATGATGAAAAAAGGCTCTGGACAGCATCTGGAAATGGAAGAGTTAAAAAAATTTTCCAAACTCAAATGCTTATAAACACGGTTAGCCGCATTTACACACCTTTACAAGCGTTTGGCGTTTGAAACGCTGATAAAATCTACTCCTGAACGCAAGTTTGGTGCGTTCAAAAAAACTACTGTAAACTCAACTTCCTGTAAAAGACTGTAAGCGATGGTGTGTACATGGACACATAGGAAAACATTAGGGTGAGTTCAGGGGCTGCTGAAAAAAAAAACGCTAAACAGCTCTTAAACGTGAGTTTATCAGCTGCAGTGTACATGGAGCCTTATAATCCTTTTTCACACTATACAAAATTAGAAAAAAAGTTTTTGAGATGGCATACACTTTAATATAAAGTGTCCTTAAATCAAGGTTAGGTAGTTGGAGGGCTGTAAGCATAGTCAGCACACTGTTAGGGATCAGTGCTGCTAAAAACAAAGTTAGAAAGAGCAGGAGTGCAGGGATTCACTTCAGATTTGCTCAGTAGTTTTTCCAACATATTTCAGCATCAACTGATCTTAAGTCATTTAGCCTTCCCAGTCAGCAGGTTCTGGACATTGTGATTTAGTAGTCAGTGCTCATATGCAGTTACTCCAATACCTTAATTCAAACATCATTAGGGTTCATTCACACCAGCCTTTGTGTTACAATGCAGTGGCTGGTGTGCGGTGCAATGCAATCCAGCTGGAGAACAGCAGTGCCAATGCACTGATCCTGGTGTATTGCACTGTTTACTTTTTTTCCAAAGAAACTTTATTGAACTGTCACACAGGGATATTTTATTAAGTTCTATTGGCCGCCACATGCTGCGAGGCAGTGGCCTCGCACTGTGTTGCGCTGAAAAAAGTATGGTTGGCTGTATGACCACTTTTGGCTACTTTTTTCAGCACATGGCAACCGCACACCACCTCAACATGGTAGTGTGAGCTAGGCACATAGAAGACAAGGCATTTTGTCTTGTCTTGCAGTGGGTCTGTGCTGGAATAGCCGCCCGGTGTTATCCCACTGCATCTAGTGTGAATGGACCCTTGCACTGTGGCTTGTTTTACAGCACTACAAACCTCAAAAGACTTTTTAGCTTGGGAGATTATCTGTGATTTTTTAGCCTCTGGAAGAATGTGTTAGGAGTACAGGGTTAATGTCAGGTAGCTAACCAGGATTACGCTCTGAAGGCAAAAAATATTCTCACAGATGGTCAGAAGAAATGGCCACAGCATGATCCTGTGGACTTTCATGTACATCTGGCAGTCAGTTCTTCTAGTATGATAGGAAAAGGGGAAATGATTTCTAGCCCCCGTTTTCTTCATGGGACGGTGGTGGGTGAAATAGTTCCAAGTCCCCCCCGTGATCCTGTAGACTGTGGGGAGTCTTATAAAGGGTCAGGTGACCTTAGTAGAGGTCAGGTGATCTCTGCAGGGGACAGCAACTCCCAAGTCCCCCCTGTGATCCTGTAGATCGTGGGGAGACTTATATAGGGTCAGGTGACCTCAGTAGAGGTCAGGTGACCTCTGCAGGGGACAGCAAGTCCCAAGTCCCCCATGTGATCCCATAGATTGCCAGAAGATTTATATAGGGTCAGGCGACCTTAGTAGAGGTCAGGTGACCTCTGCAGGAGACAGGTGACCTTTGTATGGAAGCTTCCAGAACCCCATTCTGAAGCTAAAAAAAGGGGGTTCTGTCACAGCAGGCTGAGATGCCTCAGAAGGTAGAGCTGTGGTGCTCCCTGCCCTTTCTATCACGGCTATTATTACGTGTTGGTGTCACCTTTGTAAGCAAAGGGGGGCTCTTTGTTCTGTTAAAGGTAGTTTGAGCTGTAATGGCTAAGCTAGTTGTTTGATGCATAGTTAGTAAAAGGTTTGTTTTATAATTCAAAGTATTTGAAAAATATTAGGTTCAGAAGATGTCTTATGCAGCCTGACTAGGTTGTTTTCAGTATGTTTCTGTGAAAGTTATCTTTCATCGATATTTATTCCAGTTGTATTTTAAACCAGTAATAAACGTCTGTGGGCAAATTTTTTATCCAATCCATTGTTTTTAGTGTCTTTTATTTATTAAATGTTATTAAATGTCCTGCCTGCTGTCCCATTGAGTCTTCAGAGGATCAGGGTTAATGAAAATGCTTAAATTATCATATCCTTATATACACACAGTTTTTTTTGTGTTTGGGTTGTTGCCCCAACAACCACCTTAGTGGGGACCTCTCCGATTCCTGGCACCCATAACGGCTGTGTGGCTGTAGTTACATCATTGCTGTATTTGGGTTTTTGAATGTTAACTTACAGATTGACTTACCAAAGCTAAAATGTGCAGACCTTTAAAAGATCTATTTGTAAAGCATTGCAAACTGAATCAAGTTTGACTTCAGCTTCACAATGCAGCGATTTGCAGGCCAACAAATTGGAAAAGAAGTAAAAGGGTTTTGAATGAATTGCTATTTTTTTCTACTTTGAAAGAGGGAGAGATGTGTGTCACAAGTAATTAGATCGGCCACAGTGATAGTGCCATCATGGAATGTGTTCCGTAAATTCCAGTTATGTATCTTGTTTTTCCAGGGATTTCTTTTATTTTAGTTTCTGTGATATTATCACTGTTGAATGTTAAGCTAATAGGTTGTAACCATTTTATATAATGATGAGAAGACACATTTGCAAGTCCACAATTTAATTTTTTTCTCTGCCACTCCTGAACAAGGATGACCAATTGTTTTCAAGGCATAAGCACTGCTTCTGTCCCTTTTTTACCACAATAAAAACAACAAGCCCCTCCTTCCAAGAACAAAATCCTGGCTTCTCAGGCGTACTGATTGGTGTCCACATGCCTTTCTCATGCACACTGGATGTTTTTACAGCTGCTGCTTTTGGCTTTTGACGTTTTTTTCTACAGCCAGCAAACTCCCCAGCACGTTATCCTATGTGTCCATGCATACATTGACTGTAATCAGTGTTTCTTGGCAGGGGCGTTTTTTGGCTGGAAAAAAAACAGAACTAGTGGGTTTCTAGAGGAGTTTTTTTAGCTTTAGCTGTAAAAACACTCTAATGCTAAAAAACGTGGCAAAACACGGCAAATCTGCATTTTTGGATGTTTTTTGAGCAAAAAAAAATGGGGGGGTAAAAAAAAATGCTACAAACCGCTAAAAGACACAAACGTGAAAAACGCAGCAAACCGGCATTTTTGGATTTTTTTTAGCAAAAAAAAAAATTGGGGGGGTAAAAAAAAATGCTAAAAATGCTAAAAAACACAAACATAAAAAAACGCAGCAAACTGCCACTAAACACTAATGCAAAAATGCTAAAAATACACTGAAAAACTCTCTTTTTTAATGTGAGTTTACACAGCAAACGTTACCGGCGTTATTAAAATGCCAAGTGTGCATGGAGCCTAACCTCAGCATTGGTCAGGTACAAGAAAAGACAATAAATGTGCGAGGCATTGTGCACCACAAATGCCTCAGCCAATAGTGTGGATAATTGGATATGTGGGCTATAGGAAACTACCAAGTTCCAGCTTCATAGGAAGCTCCCAAGCTCTAGTTCTCTTATTGATACTTTGAATTACTTGTGTCATTCAAATGACAGATCCTGTTGAATTAATAATGTAATTGACTAATTTTCAAAAGGTATGGCAAACATAAAACTGTGGTATCTCTTGACAAGTCTAGAAGTAAGTATATATTTTCTGTTTCTGATCGCAGCCACCTTGGGGTTTCGAGTGTTTGTGTCCATCTGGGGACATTTTTATTGCATTCTCCATAGTACAAAAATAATCTCATGTGTGAAAATCATCTAATAGTTATACAGTTCCGGGACTGTTTTGTAAGTTTGTCTTCTGTGCTTCTCTTTCATGACGTCCAGATTTGTACTCTTCTATGCCATGTCTGTTCTGTTGAAGATGTGACTATATAATGCATACTTTGATTCACTTGATCGTATGTTGTATGGCCAGCACCCTGCTGTTCCACTATTAGAGGGGTTACCTTTAGTTTAAATTGTGTACTCAGGAAGCTTGACCTTTGAAGGGCTAAGCCAC